AGAGACTCGGCGACGTTTTGGCGGTTACGCTGGGCGGTGGGCGCAGGGAGAGGCGACGCGGAGGGCGGGGGAGGGAAAGGTTGGGGCATGGCGTGGTCAACCTTGTTTCCCCAGACCGATTCAGGAGGGCCACGGCTCTGTTCATGTTCCTGCTGCTGGCGTTGAGCAGAGGCAGCCTTGTGAACTTGCTGAGAGAGTGTGAGAGGCTCAGAACCAGTAACGGAGTCGGTCAACTGTTGAGCTGCCTCCTCCATCTCGGCTGCGACCTCGGCTTCGAGTTGCTGAGAGGCAGCGGCAGGGTGGGTAGGCAGGCCTTCGGCGGTGCGCATGCCCATCTCCCCTTCCTGGGCACGAAGGGCATGGAATTGGCGAAGACGCTCCTCGCGAGCGTGCTGATCAAATGGATCATCTTCATGGGCCTTGTCAAAGTCTTCCTGCTCTTGCTGAAGCTGAGCACGATCCTGAAGCATTTGACTAACCTGCTGGGACTGCAAGAAGTTATCAGGCTGGCGGCCGGAGAATGAACCAGCACTACCAAAGGCAAATGGATCCTGGCGGCCGACGTTCAGGCGATCAAGTAGAGCGGGGAGTTGATCCTGGCTGCCGAAATCCGTTCCCAGCATTCCAGGCCCCACGTTCAAACCGCCCTGTCTCGGTGCAACACCATCGAAGAATCCAGGGACGCCTTGGGACTGCTGCTGCAAGGGAGCCTGAATCGGAGATGGCTGGTAGCCAACGGGTGAAGTGATGCTTGAGAAGCTAGGCTGGCTTTGAAGGCTGTGTGCGCTAGACTGGTGCTGGAGCGGAGGGTTCATGGAGGATGAGGGAGCACCAGGAGGAGCCATTTGCTTCATAATGGCCTGCTGCTGAGCCAGGTGCTCCTTCTGTCGAGCCATCAGGTACTGTTCTTCCTGCTTGCGTCGTTCGAGCGCATTTTGCTGCTCGGCTGTCAAGGTAGTGCCAAAGCTTGGGAAACTACCCGGGAAGGGAGGCTGAGCAGATCCGGCTGTCGTGTTAGTCCACTGGGCGACAGCAGGTTCTGGGCCATGAGGAAGGCCAATTTGGGGCACAAGGAACGGCTCGCGTGAGTTCCCAATGCGTCTCACTAGCTGAGCTAACGGCTCGAACTCGGTGTCCTCAAGCTTCTTGATTTGCAAGTCTGGGCTGAAGAAGCCCGCCTTGAACCAATCATGCATTTCGAGTCCAGTCCACGGGCCTTGGATATTGCCTTGCGGATCCCGGTAGATCCAACGCATCCTATCCGGCATGACCATGGTACGCTGCTGAGAAGCAGGGATGCCTGCGCCAGGAGTTTGACTAGAAGGAATATCATGACCAGCCAGGTTTGGAATAGAACCAACAGCCGAGACGGGTGTTTGCGAAGCAGGCGTTGAGCCAGGGTGGCTTGCCTGACCCGCCTTCTCGCTTTGCGAGGGGTCGAGTCCATCCAGGCCCACAGATTCGGGCCTTCCTTGCTCGTCCTGCATGGAAGAGAAGAGGGCACCCAGTTTGCTTGATCGGCCGATGCTTCCAGTGCCAGTCATACCGGCGTGGGGGCTAAATAGACCACCTCCACCGAGAGTTGACAAGCTAGGAGATTGAAGATCGCCCATAGAGCCAAAGATGGGGTCACCGAAACCACCAACAAATGCAGAACGCTCACGAGTGGGCGTGCCGACGGCAGCACCAGATGACCAAGTCGAGGCTCCACCCAGGGAAGACAGACCACCCAGACCACCGAGACCGGAGAAAGTGCGGTTGGCGTTAACACTGGAGTTCTGGCTGCGATCCACACTGGGAAGATCGATTCCTGAGCCAACCCGTCGCATCGAGCCGAAGGGGTTAGAAGGATCCCGAAGTCCGCTGATTCCGGGGTGCTGGGCGGGCTGGATATCCGATCCGTCAGTATCGACATCTTCGGGTTCCGCGCGTTCGCCATGACGGTCACCATGCGGGCTCTGGTACGGATTAGTGTTGGTTGGGCTATTTGGCTCGTGGCCCTGGAGCAGGCTGGGAGTTGGGTTCCGCGAGTTCTCCTGGCTTTGCATCAACTCCCGGAATCCAGGAATGCTCGAGGTCATGCCGAATGCCCCAAACCCGAGGTCAGACTGAGCGGGACCTTCGACATCCTGAGAACCGCCAAGAGCGGCGCTGCCACTGCGAGGCTCATCGAACGGATTAGTTTCGCTTCTGTTGACACGAGTTTTGACGGCATCTCCCCAGGGCGACTGCGAACGCCCATCACTGTCGTTTTCAGCAAGACGTTCAAGGTTGCCCGTGGGCTTTTCCTTGGCGGAGCTGGCAATATCTTCAGAGCTATCCTTGGACAGCAAGCCCTTGAATCTGCTTTCCCCGCGGAGACTTCCGTATCCCGGTTTCTTTTCAGCTGTGGAAGTGCCAGAGCCAGAGCCAGAACCAAGAGAGAAAGCTCCAAAGGCACCCATCGGAGAGAAACTGGCATTATGCGACGCCGAACCCCAAGGGGAGTTTGGTCCACTCACGCCCGTATTGATGGGATTGGTGGAGCTGCGCTTCAGAGAGCCAAAGGGAGAGGCAGGATCCTCCTTGCCATCCTTGGCCTTCTCATCCACTTTCGGGTTGGGTTCTCGGAAATCAGTTTTGCGACGCAACAGGGCCGGTGGAGGAATAGAGGTATTGGCCTCATCGCGGAAAAATCGGGAGTTTGAACCGGTAGGAGACATGGGGTTGCCAATTGATTCTCCCGTTTCTCGGCGTCGACCCGGGCGACCGGCGGTTGGGGAGGAGGTGGTGTAGTTATTGATATGGCCCTGAGGATAAGAGATCGAAGATTTGCGACCTCCAGTTCCCGGGATGACGTTTTCCTTCGCGGCGTTTGTGGGAGGTGGCTTCAGAGGGGAGTTGACAGAAGCGGCGAACATCTATTAAGCCTTTTTAGTAAGAGCACTCACTCAGACCTGAAAGCACGACACAACACGAACCTCTTTCTCGTCCTCCGTCATACCCGTGATTCCGAGGGGCTCCACCTGGCCGCCATGATCCCAGCAAACCTCGGGCCCCGCAGAGTTGTTCTTGTGGTCATCCCGCTTCCCCCATGCTCCATTCACAGGAGCTGACACAGTGTGGGGGTCCCAGTCGGCCACGAAGTATTCCTCCACGTTCTTACTCAAGGTACCCTCCTCCCGCTGTGTTTTATACAGCTCTAGAAGTTGATCCTTGGAGTACCGGCCGTCCCCATTCCGTGCGATGTTAGAAGTATTTGAGCTCAGGTGTGGAGGGATGTACGCGCCGCCGGCCGTGGGTGTCGAGGCAGATGCAGGCTGGCTACTATCCCGGTGGTGAGAGGGGGTGGTAGCAACAGAAGGGCGGCGGAAGGTCTGCGTAGCTCCGTTCATGCGGTTTCGGGACCTAGTGGGCATTGAAGGTTAGCATCGGATATCTCGAGCTCAAAGCATTGACGGTCACAGCAGTATGGAACGATATTGGAGCAAGTCTGTTAAACAACAGCTAATGGAGGGGCTTGGGGCAGGTGAAACAGTGTCTGCATACCATTCTCCGCTAGTCGAACCATCCCCCCTCCGGTTGGGGTCCTGGGTGTTGCCAGCGGCGGCCGAAGCGAAACTCGATGGAAGTGGTGTAGGCATTGTGGTAAAGAGGCTTGTATGGTCGGATGTTGATCCCCCACGTAAAAACCGATTCTGAGATAGTTATCGCGAGACCTGTGGCGGGCTTGCGAGAGAATGTGTGATGCGAACGATAAGTTGCAAGACACGAGATTGGAAAATTGGCGTAGAGTTGGAGGATGACAGCTAGGAGCTAGTCAATCGAATAAGCGGAGAGCTGTAAGTGAAGTAATGCAGATATGCGAGCGCCAGACTAACAAGGTCGAGAAAAGAGAGAGATCGAGTTTCGATTTCGCTTGGGAAGTTTCCTGGAGCAAAAATGATTAAGCGGTGGGCGTGGCAATACGCGTGCCTTGTTGTAAATACACGGTATGGGATTGCTAGTGGTCGCGTGATTTGCCGTCAAAGAGTGGAGAGTTCAGCGTATTGGTGGAACCACCATTTACATACCGCCAAGAGCAGGTATTCGATACACGCACAACACTGTGTCTTCATACTCTGCCCGATGTATCTTCTACCTTGCTTTGCACAGTTGTGCCCAATCCTGTGTAGCAAAAAAGGAGACGCTGTATGAAAGATGATAATGGTGTCTCCAATTAGCCAGGGCAAGTTTAAACCTGAATTCTATTTTCCACTAAGTCAAAAGGACTATAGATAACAAGGACGTATGCAGTTAGGTGGCTTGACGCAAACAGAGAGACGTGGCAACAACAGGATAGACGTGTATTCCCCACAAAAGCCACGCTCCTCTTTTGATTGGGAGTTCAGCTGCTTCTCAAACAGTTTGACAGTTAGGGATTGGCTTGCTTTGGCCTGCTTTGTTTAAGAATACAAAGGAGAGCGTCTAGACGTTCCACGAATGCAATAGAGGGGGTTGAAATGCATCCAATACCATCCCTTTCTACCCAACCTCTTGCAATACTGGGCAAACATGCCCTGTGTTAAAAAGGTTCAACGGTCTTATATCTTTAGATTCAGGCTGAAATCTGGTTGGGTTAAGAATCCCATTATCCCGTTGTGCCTGTCAATAGGGCTGGACCATTGTGTCGCCCATAGACCTCTACCGCCCCCGTTTGTCCTTTGATGCTTCGTTCTATACCAGACAATGCTTTCTGAGATTGGCTCACTTTAGGAGTAACACAAGAGATAACGCAAGACGAGACAATGAATGTCTTAGCCCAAATTGATATGATGGGCTCAGTCTTAGAGCTTCACAGATGTTATCAGGACTCTATAAAATGGACATCCCCCTCTCCGGCAATTTCCTCCTTACAGTTCTTTCGCTCCAAGACAATCCAAGTCAAGTTTCTATGAACTATACGCTTCGTTGCACAACAAAGGTTATTTTCTCTCTTGCGTCTTCCGGTATCTATGTGCTCATCGCTTTTGACAAAGAATATGAGGCGGTCCAGATTCACCGGTCGATCCAAACCCAACGGTGCAGAATTCGACTGGTACTTCGCTGGCGAGCCAATGGACAAGAGACACTCTCGAAGCGGGCGAATCAGGCTAGTCCGTTATGGACCTGAGATTGAAACTTGTGCCCACAGTCGATGCCCATCCCCATCTCCCATTCCAGAAAGGACATCTTGCTCCTGCGGCAATACATGCGAGCTTCACTCCCACGGGACACGCTCCCCATCCCCGAGCAACACCGACTCCTCTGGTTGTGAGTCAGTCAAAGTATGCTGCGGAGGATGCCATGCTATCAGACGCGGGCCCGGGTCCTCTCCGCAAGTGGAGAAGGTGATGTGCTCCTGCAGCAATCGATGTGAATGTCACTCGCGCGAAACACGCCCGATCACGCCAAGCAGCAGTGAGTATTCTAGCTCTGAATCAGCCACACAGCACTATGGTAGCCGTCACTCCACAAGACGCGAGCGTTATTCCAACGACACACGTCCCACCACGCCGAACAGCAGTGATCTTTCAGACTACGAACCGCCCAGCAGACGCCGCAGCGGTCACCGCATCTCAAAACGCGAACCGGAGCACCATCCGCAGGCGGAGACATGCCAATGCGAGGCCCACGCACCCCCTCCCAGCACACCTGCCATATCAGGCCAGAGATACAACTCCCCGCGTGCGTCGTTCGCGACAACACCACGCTCCGGCCCGGTAGTCCAACGCCACCACTGTCGCAAAGCGTCTTATTGCGAAAGCCACCCGGAGTCCTGCCGAGCTTCGATTCCTGCGCCTTCGCCGGTGCCGAGATCAACGCCAACCCCGACGCGCTCTCCCCGGTCGAGTGAAAAGCTTCGTCGCAGCTCGCGGGTCAAATCAGAGCCGAAATGCACTTGCACTCGGCCTGCTTCACCTCCCAAGCAGGTGCCTCCCCCAAAGCCAGTGTCTTCCTCCAAGCCTACGTCTCCCAGGCCTGATGTCCAGCATTGTAGCTGTTTCTACATGAATGGGTACCATGCTGATGACTCTGGCTATTATGCTGCTTACGATGACACTGCTTCTGAGACGTCTATTCAAGCCATGCCTGACCATGACAGGGATGTGGACGAGACACGTTGTGCCTTTTATCACCGCTGTCGCCCGAAGTTTGAGTGTGGGCTTGGCTGGGTGTGCGGGAGGAAGTGAACAGACTTTACTTCGGTGGTTCGGTGATTGTATTTGATTTCAATAGAAGAACGAGTCACGCTGTTTTCTCTTCCTGTTCTCTCTTTTCTGATCTGCGGTCTGTTTGAATTGGGGTATCAATTCCAGATATGGAGAGCTTTGCTGGAATGACTGTCGTTTCTGTGTCAGAGGTCCAGAAAACCTCTCTATTCTTCTTTTTCATATGTCTAACTTACGGCCTTGGGGTCTTTGAGACGCTTGTCTAATTCTAGCTTAACAACAGATTCATATGGTATGATAAGAGCTTCAAATCTGATATTTCCCTTGATATTATTGTAGTCTCTTCGTCATGATCGAGGTAAACCCGCCTAATTACCCAGTCAATGACTTCAATGAGCATGGCATGAATCTTATTGTCGCATGTCATGAAGGCAATGGGGAAAGCATTAGCCGATGCCAACACCTGGCCATCCCCTTTGCATTTTACATCTGCTTTCAGTTTAGTTTACTTTCACTTCACCTTGTTTTCACACTTCATTTCATTCCATTCTTCGAAAACCCCTATGATTTTGAGCAAGTACAATCCGAAATGTATAATATCCCACCAGCATAGACGCGGCAAATCAGTCCGTCGACTTTCACCCCGCATCTTCTTCATTGTTGTCAACTTTGGTATGTTGGCATCTTCAGCCCCCTTGACGGTCCTATTCCTAGGAAGGCAGTACTGGGCGCTACAGCAGTGGCGCTGAACCTGATGACCCAGCTAGGTAGAAGGCCGAGCAATATCCAGCAGCAGTCTCGTTTTCCTTCTTTTCGAAAGCCTTGAGTTTGGCCTTAAATAGGTTGCCAGCACATACACTCCGCCGAGTTTGAGCTCCTTGGCTAGAGCTGCGACCCTGGCATGTAGGTAATATAAATTCAGGATGTGATATCAATAAATCAAGCTGAGGGTGGGATGGCCTTGATTCCTTATCGTTGAACTTGAAACCCTTCCAGATGAGCCTCATCTCTTCATCTTTGAAGGTCCGTTTGGCGGGGCGAGACTTGATCACACTCTTTGATGGAGCCATGATTGACAGGAAGATTGGGGTTGATCGAGACGGTTGATAGAATGCTTTTTGTTAGATCTGAGTCGAGTGGTTAACGGGATGAAGGTGGGAAGAGGAAAAGATCGAAATGAGTCTTTGTGCTTTTATAGGCGTTTCTGAGTCGAGTGTTTGACACGTCGCTAGCTATCAGTCGCCAGTCCCATGCTGAGCTCGGATACGACGTAGAGTATGAGTCGCTACCACGAAGTATAGCGGTATAGCCAAATAGCATCATGCGTAGCGATTTTGATGTGTCTAGATATTCGCCTTGCAGGTCAAGCCTTCGCCTTAGCCCTTCATTTCTATTGGTTCAGTACCATGGTTGTTGATCCCGGAAAAGAGTAGACACCGAAATCACAGGAGACGCGACTAGATGTGCGTGATCTATTAATGGGCATGAGCAGTGGTGCTTGATATTTCGGCGCTAGCTACATCTGGTATCTGGTCCCTGATAAAGCAGAGTCAACTATTATGCTCTTAATGTGATAACTCGCTCTAATAATGAGGTTGCGTAATGAGAGAATAGTCTCTTTATCATGGAGATGCGTTGATTTGCTGTTCAAGGCTATATATGTTCTCGGAAAATGCAAAACTAGTAATGGATAGTAGATCTCAACAACTCTAGACCAGATCTCCCGATCGACCAGATACAGCCAGGCGCAATTTTGAAAACTATGAAATGTCAATATAAAACAGCAGCTACCCAAAGACACACTAGGCGTTCCGGCGTTTTGCGACATAATAGGTATAAATTTGGTTTTGTTTTCGCTACATTTTGTTTCAATTCGCGCTCCGCATTCCGAACTATATCAGGATATATGGGCGCAGGTTTCTGAATTCCATTAATTGTTCAACGTGTAGTCTCGGACACTCGGGCCCAACGCGTAATCAGGTTTCTTAGAAATCAACCTTCCAAGCCCGTTGGAACCTTGAAACCTCGGCTATCGATAAGCATTTAAGCATCCCCGCACGCCCTGACTTTCATCAAAGTCAATCTACTTTTGATATCTTCATCCAACATAATGTCCAAAGCAATTTACATATCCCCAATCGACGGCAAGCCCGGCAAGCCCGGCCAAGTTTACTACCCGCTCTCCCTCCGCACTGTGCCCAAGCCTTCCCCGCAAGGGGGTGAGCTATTGGTGAAACTGACTGCCGCGGCCCTCAACCACCGCGACCTCTTCCTCCGCCAACACCTCTACCCCGGCGTGACATTCGATGTACCCCTGCTCGCAGATGGAGTCGGTACCGTTGTCGGCACTGGCCCAAATGTCCCCAGCCCAGAACAATGGCAAGGCAAACGGGTGATCTTGAACCCCGGTGCTGGCTGGAAGGATTCGCCTGATGGACCGGAGGATGCTGCTGGATACCGGATTATGGGAGGCACTAAGGTTTATGATAAGGGGACGTTGCAGGAATATATTACTATCGAGTACTCGGAGGTCGAGGAGGCCCCTGAGCATCTCTCTGATGCTGAGGCTGCGGCTCTGCCCCTGACGGGCTTGACGGGCTGGAGAGCTCTGATTACGAAGGCTGGTGAGAGGAACTCTGGGGATGGTGCTGCTATCTTGATTACTGGCATTGGTGGTGGTGTGGCCCTGATGGTGCTGCGGTTTGCTGTTGCCAAAGGTGCGCATGTCTTTGTGACGAGCTCGAGCCAGGAGAAAATCCAGAAGGCCGTTGAGCTAGGTGCGACCGGTGGTATTAGTTATAATGAAGAGGGCTGGGAAAAGAAGCTGTTGGGTATGCTCCCCGCTGGAAAGAGGAACTTCGATGCCATCATTGATGGTGCCGGTGGTGATTCTATTGAGAAATCTGTTAAGTTGCTCAAGGTGAGTGCCATAACGGGAAATATATTCAATTACGGAATGGAAGTACTCACATTTCCAGCCCGGCGGTGTCCTCTCTATCTATGGAATGACTGTGTCTCCCAAGATGCCATTCACGATGCCTGCTGTGCTCAAGAACATTGACGTCCGCGGTTCTACGATGGGCTCACGAAAGGAGTTCAAGGAGATGATTGAATTCGTTAATGCTAAGAAGATTCACCCTGTGGTGTCGCGAGTTCTGCGGACTGAGTTAGATGACTTGTCCGCAGTCGACGGGCTGTTCGAAGACATGAAAAAGGGCACGCAGTTCGGCAAACTGGTGATTGAGTTTGGCAAGTCTGCGGACAGCAAGCTGTGAACATATTCTTGCTACGATACCCATGAAGTTATGATGCCTGCATGGCTGTCTATAAACCTATGATACATATCAATTGAGATATTTTGCAGCAACTGGGAGTGTTCTTCGTTCCTTCCCCCTGTGCCGCTTAATTTGACGCATCACCGCATCGCAACTTACTTGCATCTTCAGCATACCATCACTTTTATCACTCGTCCTCTTTTATTAGAAATCCAATCGAGTAACGAAATCCCAAATTCGCTCATTATATAACCGATCGTTCCATTCATTTCCAATTCCACCACCATGAACTCCAAGAGGGACCGCCTCTCCAACCGACGAGTCTCTCGCTCCGTTTCTCGAAATGGCCATGTGCCTCATGTGTCGGACTCTCGCCGGGTGCTAGAAGATTCGTGGGACGAAGGTAGTTTCCAGGTATTGTGATATCGGGGAAACATCGACCTATGGAATACCGGGTTGGTACTGACAGTCAGTACAGTCCTTTGACGCCACTCACTATGCCCTGCAAACCCTCAACAAGCACATCGAACGAAGACTCGCAAAATTGCAAGCCAATACAGTCCGTCTGAAGCGTGAACTGTGGCTGCTCCAGCGACACATCAAAGAATTCCGCCATCCTCTTTTCGAGAACTGGGAAGCCGACTTGCTGACCCGTCTTATCGAGGTTGCTCATGCACATCAGCATAAGAAGCTACCAGGCGGCGTCGTGATCGGAGAGTCCTCATTTGCCGAACGAGAAAATCTCAACCATGCATACAGCATCGCGGCGAAGGGAATCCGCATGCCGACCCTTCGTAAGCTTGGTCTGTCGGAGAAGTATCACCAGGCTCTGCAGCGATATTCAGAAGTGAGTTACCGCCAGTGGTCTTGATCTAACGTACCTTGGCCTAGCCATGATCTAACATGGACTAGGTCGCTCCTTATCGAAGTCCGAATCCCTTCCAGACTGAGTTCGCATTCGCCAAGTGGCTGGTCGAGGTGCGGGAAGATAGACCGGAACTGTATGCATTCTGGTCCAAGCTTTTCCCCGTCTGCTACGATCGCACCGTCCAGGAGAGCGCCTCTATCTTCTAGAGGATTCCAAAGATCACTTCGTCATCGTGTCTCGTCACGTTTCCTCTCTTTGGCTGTTCCTGCGGGCAAAGCATCCAAAGAGAGGTTGTTGAGTGGATACAATATTGCTTCGTTGTTTAGAGATGTTCTATTTCTAGAAGTTTGTGGGTCATTGCTCTGTGTCCCGACCTCGTTCTGCCCCGTGCGGTTGTGATCATCGTGTCTCATCTCAGCTTTCCACATAGATACCAAGTCTATTCTTATCGTCGGCTGGTCAGAATGCAATGCCTGCCTTTTTGGTCATATGCTCCCGATGCATGGCATGACTTTGAGAAATAACCCTAATCGTTCCACGGACTAGTAGAAGATGTCTTAGTCTCCTTGAACGATCGACGGTGTACACACGACCTTTCAGAGAACAAACTACCACCGTTGCATCCAATCCTAGACCACTTAACCATCACACCTGGGCAGCTAGTATTCACCGATCGCTGGAGTCCACAAACCAAACAATCTGAACGTCAACCGCACTAACCGCTCCGGTGTGTCTGGCACTTCGTCCCGTCGTTCTGGTCAGACAACGAAACGATCCAACAGTCATATAATCAATATTAAGAAATATGCAATATGCAAGAAACTCCCACGTGCACGACCTCGAAATCCCTATTCCAGCAATTAGCCCACATTGTGCAC